AGAGCAAGAATTAATTTGATCAAGCTCATTTGCAATGTTTACAGAAGACCTAGAGCTATTTTACACCACGAGCGATGACATTTTCAACATATCATACTTACAAGTCTTTTGTGAAACAGGAAAAACAAATTTCTGTAATAATATGTCCCTGCAATGGAATATATATTACAATTAAATAATATCAGAATTATTCATCAACATCAAACATTCAATTTCATTACAGAAATATTTCTGTGGTCACACTTACAAAATATTGAAATGTACTGTTTTGAAAATAGACACATAAAAAGCACCTTTGTGCATGCATGCATACATAGACCCATATATTTTTTAAGCATATGATGTTTTCCATTACACAATACTGCAGTTTTTATTGAAAAATTCAAAATATATATTGTTTTTAATTTTAAATATGTAATTTTTTAATTTTAATATTTATTTCTGTATTTGCACAATGTCTTCTATTGTAAAATAAAGGACGTCCTTTTGGATTGATAAAAAAATAAAAATGAGAATGCAAACTGTCATCACCAAAAATTAAGTCAACTTTTATAAGATTAACAATAAAAATCTGTTACTTTTTTTTAACATTTCTTAAAATTAATAAATTAACAGTTAATTTGCCCCTTTGGGATAACCATTCCAGTATTTCAATACACAGCGGTGCCCACTACTGAAGAAAGAGAGAGCGGATAATAAAGTCATTAATAGTCAGTCAGCAAAGAGTTTGAAAAAAACATTAAATCATAGTTTTGAAAATTGGTACACATGTTTGTGAGGGGCTCCTGATGAACATACTAAAAGTCCCCTGTCCTGAGGAAGCAGCTAGCACAACCATCTTGGATTTCATCCCTCTTTTTCAGTTCTTTCTTGAATATCTCAAAAACTATTCAGTTGTCAAATTAGGATTTAACGAATTAAAGAGCATAAAATTATCTACAAAAGCATGCTTTTATTTTTATTCTAGCTTTAAAAGTTTCCAGGATAATGGGTCTCAAAGTTAGCGCCCATCTTGGATTTCATTTCCCCTTTAGTTTTGCTTGAATATCTCAAAAACTATTTAGTTTTCATAATAAAATTGATTTAACAAATTACAGAGTGTAAAATTCTCTACAAATAAATGCATTTATTATTTATTCTTCTAGCTTTAATAGTTTCCAGGATACTGGGTTTCAAAATTTACCGCCATCTTGGATTTTATCCCCCCCCCCCCCATTTTTTTAGATTTTCTTGAATATCTCGAAAACTATTAAAACTAGAAGAAAAATATTTGTAGGGAGTTTTAGGCTCTTTAATTTGTTAAACCAATTGTAATTTGAAAACTGAATAGTTTTCAAGATATTCAAGAAAAACTAAAAGAGGGGGATGAAATACAAAATGGCGGCACAAGCTCCCACCCTCAGGACCAGTGACATTTAGTATGCTCATCAGGAGCCCCTCACAAACATGTGTACCAATTTTCAAAACCATATGATTTAATGTTTTTTTCACCCTCATTTTGGGCCTTCGTTGGCTGAACTATAAGCGTTGTCTTAACATGTGTTGACACCCCTGTATCTGTCTCACCCTGGAATCTTTCCCTTTCGTCAGTTATCATTCTTGATACATCCAGTATTCTTTTCTTGATACATCCGATAAGAAAAGCTTTATGATTGCTTTCGGTCTATTGTTTCAACATCAGAGGAAACAAAAATAGGAGAATGTTTCCTTTGCACTTCTGGGGAAAATTGAGCACTTTTAAGGTGCTTAAAAATGGTTTTCAAATTTAAGCACTTTTCATGACGCTACGCACCCTGCTTCATATGTGCTTCTACAGCCGATTCTCCCATACTAGAAATGTCAAATTCTTTGCAAACTAAAAAATTATTCTACAACTTCGTAGGTAGTTTTATAACCACCAAAATCAAGAAAGGTCAAAATATGAAGCACAGTCTAGAATGGGGCCTAAAAGGTGACATCGGAGTGCAAAGGGTTAATTAAAAATCAAGAGAAATTTTGGTACTTCTTGGCAATATCTTTTTCACGATTATGTTTCGAAACAGGAATGAAATGTAAATTTTGTTGTCATGCAATTTTCTCCCTTAAATTTAACAAATTTTAAAATATATTTTTATACACAATTTGCAATAATACTTTTAATGTAATGAAAGTCGAACTAATTTCACTAGTCCTTGGTAGCATAGTGGTCAGTATCCACTCATGCTACCACGTCACAGGGTAGACCAGGGTTCCATACCCTGCCAGGGAGGACTTTTTTCTTACCCTCTATAAAACTTCGGGCGAGTGGGTGAATGTAGGAGCTGGAAATCCGTTTCATTATATCTTTAAATAGCATGGAGTTTTTGGGGGGGGGGGGGGGGGGGGGGG